GTCGAAATATGCAATACAATTATTGAAAGACCAACTTGATTTCATGATGACTTAAATTTGCAAATCAATAATTTTATAAAAGAAATATTTAAAATGAAATATTTTTTTTTATAATTTTATATTTTAAAATATTCCAGTAGTTCTACTAGTTTTACAAATAATATTAAAATTGTGAATGATTATAAATTTTTTTAAAAATTCACACTGCTCATTGCATTTTATAAAATGTATATGAGACCTTGTCAATCAAAAATTTTTTTTTTATTAATAATTTTTAAAAATATTTTTTAATAAAGTAAAATACTTTAACTTTGAAAAGTAAATAGTTGAAGATTTTTAAAATGACATTTTAAATACTTTGAGTGGCAGTTCAAATTGATCATACTTTAAGTTTTAGCACTCAATATTTATGCATGATATTAATGACAAAATGTCTTCTTGTCAAAAAAAATACTGACGTTTTTTTTATTATAAAATTTATTAATTTAAGTAGTCACCTACATATAGTTGTGTTAAAAATCATCCGTTTTGTGTTAAAAATTTTTTAAAAGTTTATTACAATTAATTATTGAAATTAAAATTGAAATTTAAGCAATCAAGGCACTATAATGTATCAAGTACAAATTGAAACATGTAACAAAAATGAATTGCATTGAATTTTTTTTAAATCGGAAAATCAATCATTGTTATTTATTTTTTAAAAATAATTTAGTGTAAATCTTGGTCACAACTATATTTTTAGTGGTACTAAAATGTTAAATTTAAAATGTTAATTTTTGGCTACCATTTTCCAAATTTCGGTAGAAAATATTACAAATTATACGATCAACATTTTTTTTCAAAACATTTTTCTAATAATATCAAATTAGATGACGTCGATGATGAATTGACAAGTTAAAAACGTCGAACACACTGCTCACTGAACGTTTTTTGAATTATAATACTATTGTTAATAATATTGAAGCTTTTCTTAGCCATCAGGCTGCCGGTCAGGAAATGGTAATCTAAATCGAGTAATTTGAAGTTGGCAACTAAAATGAATTACGTGTCATTGTGCGAAATATCAAAAACAAAATTACGATTAACAAAATAGTAGAAAAAAAATATTTCTACACTCAGCTACTTACTTATTTATGTAACATTAAATTTATGGATTTGTACAATTTATTTTTAAAATTGTTTTAAATTTCAAATTAATATTTTAAAATCAAACATTTCCCACTTTAAAACATATAAAATATTTTATACAAACCCAAATAGCATAATAAACTTAAAAATATTTTAAAAATTCAAATTTAATGCTCAGTTAAAATAATTGTTCTCAAACAGAGAATGTATGATAGTTTGTAATGCAACAGTCTAGCTATTGTGAATAACATACAAAAATTGTGTTATTCACAATAGCATCCTAAAAGTATGCAATTTATTCTATTTCTAATTTGTCATTAACTTTGTTAATTTAAAATTTTAAATTAGTATTTACTTTATTGCGGAATGAAAAAATAAAATATATTAATATGCATAAATACGAGTACTATTGTTATAGTATTTTACTGCGAGATTTGATTGTCATAAATCCAAAGAAGATTATTGTCAAAAATTTGAAACTAGTCATAAACTCAACGAAGATTGTTATTAAAAATTTCCAAATTTAAAGAATCCAAATATTATTATTCTATACTTGAATTTTTACGATATAACAAGAGATTTTTTCAATTCCAAAATTAAAATTTTAATAAAGATTAATTGTTACCATATCTCTTTTTGAAATTTAAAATATTAATATTGTGCCACTCTATAAGTGGTAATTACTCTATTTAATATTTTAACCACTCTACCTCAGATAATTTTATTTTAAGCTTTTCAAGTATACCACATAATATTTTATTTAATTGCAAATTCAACGAAATCGTTCCTACTAAAACATTTCCAATATTTTTAGTTATATTTTCCTTCTAAAAATAGAATATACCGAAATTTTCACAAAGACACAATTTTAAGGTTAAAACCCATATAATATGTACATATTTTTGAATATAAATTTTATTTCAATTCTAAAATGTCATTCATAGCTAATCTGACATTAAAAATGAATATATGGCACATACGCCTTGTTATAACCTAAAAATAAATTACTATTCTTACAATATTGTTTTTAACATTAAAATAAATAACTTATATAATATAATCCTAAATAAATATTTCTTATAATATGCATTTATTTTTAAATTTTCAAAAAAAAATTACGATATTGAAGTAAAAGTGTAGTTAAGCTTTCAATCAAATTCAAAAATTGAAAACGTATGGAAAAAAAATGAAAAATTCATGAAAATAATTTTTCTGGAAATAGATGTTATATGTAAGTAGAAATGTTAATATTAATATTATTTGTAAAATAATGATGACGTAAATAGAAATTCAAAAGTTAAAATTTCTAAAAATAAAAATTATGGTTTTAATACATTACATTTTTTACCTCATTTTGCTTACGTAAGTTTCACACCCCTGTAAAATACAAATACAACTATAATCACTCCAGTAAAATATAAATATTCTAAGAATTTTAAGATTTATAAGAAAATCTCTAATGTATATTATTATGTGATGGATTATCGTAAAAATGAGTTCATGACGAAATCATCGCTTAATATTAATTCTTATTCTCGGTTATATACGATTAAATAACCTAGAAGATAAATACACATTTAGACTCTTCTCGGCTAAATTCCAAGGATCTGAACATCAAGAATTCAAATATTATTCCTTATTTTGAAGTAGATAGAGTACTCTAAAACCAAAAATTACTATACAAAAACGAAGATTTTTATACTCGTATCAATATGAAAAGCCAGTACATGGCATAAAATTATATTATTATATGTATAGACATAGTATAGACATAGACTATTTCGGTAACCATTCATATTTAAATTTATTAAATATCCAAATTGTTATACTTACCCTTTCGTTAACTTAAATTTTAACTCATATATTATAGTTTATGATTCTCCTATTGTATGCACATTTATTTTTAATATTGGATATTTTATAATCCTATTGATTGAATATTTGATCGTAAATTGAAAACATATTATACCCCATACATATTAAATATTTTCAATAAAATTTCAATTTTATGATTTTCATATTACTGAAGTTGAAGAAGTTTTATTACAGACCTACTTAGAGTACAAAATAATATAAAATGATTCATAAAAATGAAATATTTCAATAAAAAATTTGCAGTTAATATTATTTTCTTCGAATAGGTCAAGTATAGTACAGTTGACGTTATACTATTATTATTTTAGTTTATTATTATTTCGACAGTTTACTTTTATATTTTAGGATTGTATATCTCAACAATATACTATTTTATACCATATACATTAATACCATATATGAATATCATGAAAGTAATAATATTTAATGACATAAAATTATATTTGCATATATATGTTATTCCCCTCTCTTTTAATGATGTATAACAGAATTTAATAACACAATACATATATATATAGGAGTAAATCTATGTGTTCATAATTAAAAAAAAATTTTTGAAACTTTCTATTAAAGTGTCTGGGATTTCATACAAATATAGAAAAACTATGTTGAATACCATCATATTAAAAACCAACAATAATGAGAAATATTGCCGTTATTAATAGAGGATATAGGGTAGACTTCAAGAACCAATGAAGGAGCATTATAATTTTTTAAAAAAGAATTTCAAAAATATTATTAAATTCGAAAAATTCTGCGAAATTGAACAATCTACGTATTAAAATTAATATTAAATATGACGACAACAGGGTAACTAAAAATTTTCAATTTAAACATTTGATTTTTCATAAACCATCAACTTAACGAATCATTTTCGCCTAAACATATGCAATAAAATTGTGTTTTAATTTATAATAATCTCACCTTTCTTGTTTTTCACATTAGCAATAGGTATGATAAGAAAAATATTGGCTACATACTACATAAATAAAAGAAAGCGCGTACATTTTATGTTCTTTTGTAAATGCAGAATGAGTACGCATCTACTGTTATGAAACTTTCGTTTGTTTTGTAGTAGCAGAAAGATTTTAACAGATTTTTAGCTAAGTTTTTTTACAGTACTAATACTAAATTGAAGGTATCATCATTACACTATTATATCTTACATAGATATTAATTAAAAAATAGATTTTCGATATTAATTAAAAAATAGATTATAACTTATTATAGATATTAATTAAAAAATAGATTATAAGTTATCTTGCAGAAAATAGAGACAAAAGTTTACGACATTTTAGGGTTTGTAATGCTAGTTTGTAGTGTTTGCAGTGGTTATTAAGAATTATTTATTAAAATTTATAGAATAGCAATTCCAAAGGCTATATTGAACTTGTTCAACCATTTTGAATTTGAATTGTCAAATAAAACAATTTAACATTATATTTGCATCTAGATAGCTTTATTCTGCTTTTAATCTTGGACTCAAAGCAAAATAATAAAATTTTATTGTAAATATTATGTTAATAAATAAGAGAAAGTCTAATTCATTTACGATTTCTTCAAATTTCGAATTTAAGTCACGGGCAATTTCAATGTAGACTAAATTAAAAAATAAAGAAGGTGGAGAATGTTTCTAGAATGGATTCTTCTAGTAACTTTAACCAGTCTAACTTCACATTTGTTATTTTATTTAGGATAATATAACCAAGTACTTTAAATAGGAATAACATTAAAGACTTTTGAAGCCTAGCTTACAATATTTTATAAGTATATTGTAGGGATTTAATAAAAAAGAAATTTCAAATGACTGATGTTGAATAATAAAAACTACAAATATGGCTTAAAAAATAAATTCAATTTTAAACAAAATTTATTTTTAAATCCGATGGATTTTTAAATTTTAAATTATTTAACATGAAAAATAAAATTATTTACATAGTAAAAAATTATTACAAAAAATAAATTCATATGGTATTTTAGTGAAATTTTACGCAATGTTATTTTGTTTCAACAAAAATTTCAAGGTGAATCTTTATATATACATGTACATATACCATATAAATATATCAAAAACTATTTTCAACTTCATTCTTCAATAAAAATATTCAATTAATTTAGAAAATAAAATTACAAATGGCATTTTTTTTATAAAATTAAATTATTTGTCCTCATTTTTAAAATAAGTGTTTTTTTTTTGTTTTCTATTTTATTCTCTTTTAAATTTATTCTCTTTTTTTTTTACATTTCAAAATGGACAACACATTTGACCTATATCATTTGGATCAAAACAACCCCATGATGGACATGCACTTCTTGTTCTAACAAATTTATTTATTCCAGTATTATCAGTTGCCAATATAATTTTAGTCCAATCTAACAAATCCTTTGAGAAATTATCATATGTTGTAATGTTCTGTAATAGAAAAAATAGAAAAAAATATAAGTAAAAATTTCTGTTATATTTCTTATAAAGGAATTTAAATATGCATTTAATAAAATTTAGTATAAAATTTTCGTAAATAACGGACAAATTTTCGGGGGACTAATAATTTGTGTAAATACGGATAGAAGAATCAAACTATGTATAACAGAATTTCCTATCATTTTCTAATAGGAAATTCTGTTATACATAGAATGACAACCAAGCCAAATTTAAATATTATAAGAGTTTGGACGTTTACTTTGTATATAATGTGCGCCAGATCTATTATATACGAAAAATAAACATTTTCAATGAGTTTACCGGAAAATAGAGGTAGCATTGAAAACTTGAAAAAAAAACTTTAGATTTTAGAAAATTAAAATTCTTTCCAAGTTTTTCCGTTACGTATATAACTTGATAACTTGATAAGTATACTAAAAGTATAATTCCAGGCATTAGTTCCATGACTAATCTTGCATTCAGCATAATAAAATTACACGAAATTGATATATCAGGTGCAATGTTTATTGCGAATTATTCATTGCTTTGAGAAGAAAGAAGGGAATGGGAACACTGTTTTTGAAAATAACGTAGGGCACCAAACAAGCGGCTGACTCATACCCGGGCATGTATGAGTATAATCTTGTTCATTTTAAGAACACGTTTATAACATTCTATTTAAAGGCTATATTATATCGGAATACAACACTTTAAGAATTAGAACAGCCTATGCAAATTAGTAGTAGATTTTGGGCTTCCCAATTTAATATGGAAAAGAAATATTAAAAGTTTTCCTGTTTTTAAAATTTTTTTCTGTAAAATCTTTTCATTTAAAAATTGCTTAATGCTCATAATTTCGAATTATTTTTAGAATTAATTATTTTATTTGAAAATATTACGTATTGAATTACAAAAATATTTTGTTTAAATAAAGTAAAAAATAAAGTTGGGTCAAACCAATGGTTTGTATTGTAGCACTTTTCCCTTCAACAAGTGAAAATTCTGCTTTTAAATACAGTCTATGTATACCTATCACACTATTAAAATTATTTTCATTCATATACAAAACTCTTTCTAGGATTGCATATTTTTAGGATGACGCATATATGCAGTCTTTGAAATAAAGCAAAAATTAATATAAAAAGGGGTTAACATAATGCTCGATTTTAAGGGTTAATTGTGTGAGTTAAGGAAAATAATTATATTTTTTAATGTCATGGAATTTACCGTTAGCTTTTTGCGTTTATAGAAATTTGAAAAAACGTGCGATTTCGGAAATATAAGGTGTCAAAAATTCAAATTTTACAAATTTCAAGGGGCGATAACTTGAGAGGGGGTGGAGATGGAAAAAAATTTTCTTCTAACGAAATGAACTATTTGTTAATGTCTAAAAGTCTCTAAAATTTCAAGCTTCTACAGGCTGGGATCTAGAAGAAAAACAACATCAAAAATTTGGAAAAAAAGGACTTTAGATAACGGTAAATTTGAGCGGCCATTTTGTTTTTCTAAAGTTTAACTGTAGTATACCGCGCTAGGGAAAGCAAGCCGCTGCCTTTCTGCGTTTGCAAAATTTCAAAAATGCTTATGGTTTCATTGCAACAAATAGTTAAAAAAGGCCATTTTTAAGGTTTTGGGGAGGTATAACTTCTAGAGGGGGGGAGATAGGTAAAAATTTTGTTCTACGGAAGTAAGTTTCTAGTAAAGATCTATGTACATATAAAATTTCAGCTTTCTATCTTCAAGGGTGTAGAAGTTTTGTAAACAAAAAAAGTGTCCACGGACGGACGGACGGACGGACGGACGGACAGAGTGAAACTAATAAGCACTTTTTTCAAAAATTTTTTTGGAAAAGTGCTAAAAAGTTATGAATTTTGCACCTACATTCTTATAATAACCTTCAATTGTCATTTCAATTAATTAGTATGCTATAAAATAATTTCAAATAAATAACTCAAAATATTTATACAAAATTGAATTTCGAAAATATTTGAAAAAAATATTCTATTTTCGAGGAAATTATTCCATAATAAATACACAACACATAGAACACATAATATGCTGATTTGTGCATGTGTACGTGCTGTAATTGTTGTATTCCGGTGTGTGTATAAGTATAAACTAATTCTAAAAAATAAATTATTACTTTTGTTTACTATTTTATGTATAAATTCAAATTTTTCGTAAACAATTACAATTATTGTCATTATTTCGATAATGATGTGGTTATTGTATTAAGAGTTATAATTAATTTACAAATCAAATTGAATATTGTGAAGATTAGTTTAGATAATATACCCATATATCCGCATTGATTAAAAGGCATCGTATTATTGGGATAAATTTAAAAATATTGAATAAATTGAGCTTAGCAACTTCTCCTGTATAAACCTAAATTTTATAAGATATATATAACATTGTTAAGAATGTCGAAGTTTGTCTAATTTTAATTTTAATGAGAAATGAATAAGAGAATTATGTACTGTTTAAAGCGGATTGCAGCGTGAGCATTAAGCATTTAATCAAAAAAATTTTCTATAAATAAAATCAGTGTGAGAAATATTTAATTTTATGCAAGCCTCTCTTATATAATCCATTAAACTTGTCAAGCCTTTGCAAATAAATCCCTCGTGGAATGCAGTACGCCCAATTTCTGCCATTCCTCAGGGATCAGTCGCAGACCAGACAGCCGTCCATTTTGTATTAGACGCTTCTGAATTTGTACTGGATTTTAATGGACTCTTACCACAAGCATTCCTACTGCTGATATTTCGCACCACCATCCGCCGGGAATGTTCTTATAAATAGTTCAAGTGAACCTACATTTAAGTAGACTCAGAAGTCGTCATTGAGAATGATAAAAATAAAGCAATTCCAACTAAAATACAAGGACTTATTTGAGAAAATTTTAAGAAAAACAATTTCACATGACTTTGATAATGTTTCCATTTAAAAATTATTACTCAGAGTCAAAAAATAAATGTTAAACCTATTTTTATTTAAATTGTGTTTGCTATTAATATGGAACTTTTAAATAGTCCGCCAATTTCCGACCTAAATTTTTCAAAAATTTAATATAACAAACAATGTTAATTCGAAATTGTTTTACTATTCATACTATTATAATCTTATACATAAGTATTATACTTCCAAAACCTTCTTCTAAATTACTTACTACACAATATTATATACCAAAAATTTTTCTATATACAATCTATATCAATTGAATTAACACAAAAATTATTGCGCCTAATTGTATTTGGATACAAAGTAAATTTCAAAGTACACCGGAATTAATAGAAAATTAGAAATTAAAGCCTTTAATAATACCCAAAAAATACTGATAATTTTTAATTTTTTTTTACTATAAATTTGACAAATTAAATATAGAGTTAATCATGTGAGTTTTATTAATTTATTATATAGCCATTTTTAAATAATTTCACACTTAAAATTGTATATAGCAATTTTTTATTTTATGCCAAATCTAATCTGCGGATATTTTCCGTATCAAGTCAGAAAAATCAGATAATTATTTAATGAAGTTGTGCTATTTAATTTTTATTTTGGATTAATTTTTGAATCATTTAAGCCTAGCTAAAGAATAATGCAGTTAGAACTACTTATGTTTTAAAATTAAAAATTTTCAGCACAAAATATTTTAAAATTTTCCTTTCATATAATCTTAAAATTTATTAAGTAAACTTTAATTATCAGTTAATTAAACCCATAATTACTTAAGTATATACTTAAGAATATTAGAGAGTCAGGTGAGATAATCACACGTTTTTTGTTTCTTTAAAAATTTTCTTTAAAAATTTAAATAAATACTTAAAAACTTATTAAAATACTTAGTCTATATTTAAAATGGCAACAAACTACTCTGTAATTAGTGTACAGACAAAATCAATTGAAAATCTACTTTAAATATTCTCATTCCTTTTAACATGTACTTGAAATATATTAAAAACCAATTTGATTTTACAAATAATATGGTAAATAGAAAAGGTCAATAACATAGAAATTTGTTAAAAATTATCAAAAAAAAATTTTTAAATAACAATTGAAAAAATCTGATGTGGTCAGCACATAACCGACCGCATTGTGTATTGTCTAGTTAAATGAAAGTGTTACAGAATATTATAAAAATGTCTGTTAAATACTTCGTTCCAATTTTTAGGACATTAGTAAGCTTATAGTTAACATACTTAGAAAAATGTAAATTTGGCTCTTAGTAGAGTTTTGCTTTGTGCTACCCGAATTCCCTGAAATGCTCGCCAGTTAGTTTCGGTAACAACCAGAACTCAAATATCAAATTTCAAGAAATTCCATAAATTTGTTCTGTGGATATGGTGAAAAATGTAAAATCGGCCCGCAAATCAGTTCTCGAGCCCTGATCTTTCCAAAAAAGTTATATGTTCATTGGTTTAATATGAGGAATTCATATATTAAATTTCAATGAAATCGGTTGATTATTTCTCTTTATATACACAAAAGTGTATGTTTGGCCCGTAGTAAACGTCTAGTTGCCGATGCCTGATCTTTCCAAAAAATTTACATGTTCATTGTTTTAATACGAGGAATTCATGTATTAAATTTCAATGAAATCGGTTGATTATTTCTCTTTATATACACAAAAATGTATATTTGGCCCGTAGTAAACGCCCCGTTGCTGATGCCTGATTTCTTCCAAAAGTTAGGAATTTTTGCGTATGATCGAGCAAAGCTTATATATGAAATTTCAAGTAAATCGGTTGAATACTTTCTTCAAAATGGTGAGAAATGTAAAATCGGCCCGCTAAAAAGTGCAGTTCCCGAGGCCTGATATATACCAAAAGTTGATCGATCCGTGCCATGGTGGAAACAAACTTACATATAAAATTTCATCAAAATCGGTTCAGCCGAACTTGAGATACACGCGTGCACACACAGACCGACAGACCGACAGACCGACAGACCGACAGACCGACAGGTTGCTAAAAATAGTTTATTTA